TCCGCCATCTTTACTGAGGGCACTGCGGGCCTCGCCGCCGCCATCTTTAGTGAGGGCATGTCCGCCAGCCTGCCTGTGGGCCCCGGGGTGTCCCCTGGCACCCCCCTGCCCCCCCCCGGCACCCCAAGGGTCCCCGGTCCCCAGCACGGCGCTGGGGGGGCTCTCGGGGGTGCTGGCAGCAGCTCGCACGCGCACAAGGAAGCGAGGGGACGGCGCCTGCGCGCAGTGCGGGCGGGCATGGGCGGGCCTGCGCATGCGTGAACACGCACACACGTGTAAACATACACACGTGTGCACCTACGGATACACACGTGTACACATACACGCATACAGGTACACATACACACACGTGTACACACAGGCACATGTACACACACACACATGTACACACACGTGTACACACACGTGTACGCACACGTGTACACACACACATGTACACACACATGTACACCCACACGTACACACCCACACGTACACACACACATGTACACACACAGGTACGCACACAGGTACGCACACGTGTACACACACACATGTACACACACATGTACACCCACACATGTACACACACATGTACACCGACACGTACACCCACACACGTACACACCCACACGTACACACACACATGTACACACACACACGTGTACACACACGTGTACACACACACACATGTACACACACGTGTACACACACACGTACACACACACACACGTACACACACACATGTACACACCCCCACACGTGCACACCCACGCCCCACACAGCTGTCCCATGGGGTCCATCTCTCTTTATTTCTCACCACTGGCAAACAAGGAAAAGCCCCAACAGCCCAGCCAGGGGCAGCCCCATCCCAGCCCCGACCCCGGTGGGTGCCATGGCTGAGCCTCGCTCCATGGAGGTGCAATGGTGCTCTGTGTGCTGGGGATGCTGTGGTGGTGCTGGGGGTGCTGCAATGGTGCTGGGGGTGCTGGGGATGCTGTGGTGGTGCTGGGGGTGCTGCAATGGTGCTGGGGGTGCTGGGGATGCTGTGGTGGTGCTGGGGGTGCTGCAATGGTGCTGTGTGTGCTGGGGATGCTGTGGTGGTGCTGGGGGTGCTGCAATGGTGCTGGGGGTGCTGGGGATGCTGTGGTGGTGCTGGGGGTGCTGCAATAGTGCTGGGGGTGCAGCAATGGTGCTGGGGATGCTGCAATGGTGCTGGGGGTGCTGGGGATGCTGTGGCGGTGCCAGGGGTGCTGCAGTGGTGGGGAATGCCGCAGTTGTGCCTAGCGTATATGGGATGCTGCAATGGAGCCTAGCATGCTGGGTCTGCTGCAGTGGTACCCAGTGTGTTAGGGGATGCTGCAATGGAGCCTAGCATGCTGGGTGTGCTGCAATGGTACCCAGTGTGTTAGGGGATGCTGTGATGGAGCCTTGCGTGCTGGGGATGCTGCAGTTGTGCTTAGGGTGCCAGGGATTTTGCAGTGGAGCTTTGCATGCTGGGGATGCTGCAGTGGTGCTGGGGATGTTGCAGTGGTGCCCTGCATGCTGGGGATGCTGTGGTTATGGGGGATGCTGCAGCTGTGCCAGGGATGCTGCAGCAGTGCCAAGGATACTGCAGCTGTGCCAGGGATGCTGCAGCTGTGCCAGGGATGCTGCAGCTGTGCCAAGGATACTGCAGCTGTGCCAGGGATGCTGCAGCTGTGCCAGGGATGCTGCAGTGGTGCCAAGGATACTGCAGAGGTGCCAGGGATGCTGCAGCGGTGCCAGGGATGTTGCAGCTGTGCCAGGGATGCTGCAGTGGTGCCAAGGATACTGCAGCTGTGCCAGGGATGCTGCAGCGGTGCCAAGGATACTGCAGCGGTGCCAGGGATGCTGCAGCGGTGCCAGGGATGCTGCAGCTGTGCCAGGGATGCTGCAGCAGCGCCAGGGATGCTGCAGCGGTGCCAGGGATGCTGCAGCTGTGACAGGGATGCTGCAGCAGCGCCAGGGATGCTGCAGCGGCGCCAGGGATGCTGCAGCTGTGCCAGGGATGCTGCAGCAGTGCCAGGGATGCTGCAGCGGTGCCAGGGATGCTGCAGCGGTGCCAGGGATACTACAGCCGTGCCTCGCACGCCAGGCCCAGCACCCGAGGTGCCGTGGCATCACCTCCCTCGGGGCTGCGGTGCCGCGGTTCCGGTGCCGTTCCCTAGCGCGGCGGGGCCGCGGCGGGGCCGGGCAGGTCGCAGCGGTAGCGGAAGACCTGGAAGCAGAGGAGGGAGGCGAGCAGCGAGGGGCTGGTGGTGCCCACCCTGCGGAAGCCCTGGCTCTCGTAGAGCCGCTGCGCCGGCACCTGCACCATGGAGGTGGAGAGGACGACGGCGCCGAAGCCGCGGGCGCGGGCGAAGCGCAGCACCTCCCGGCACAGCGCCTTGGCGATGCCGCAGCCCCGGTGCTCTCTGCTGACCGACAGCCGCTTCAGCTCCAGCGCCACGGCCCGCTCGGCCGGGTCCTGCGGCGGCTCCACCGCCACCGTGCCCACCACGGCGCCGCCGGCCTCGGCCACCCAGAAGCAGGCGTGCGGGGAGCGCAGGTAGGAGCCGCGCACGTCGGCCAGGTCGGTGCCGAGCGCCTGCCGCACGTAGGTGGTGGAGTAGGAGCGCACCAGGAGCCAGATGGCCACGAGCGCCAGCGCCACGGCCCCCAGCCCCAGCAGCCAGAAGCCGCCGGCCGCACGCACCAGCACGAAGAGGACGAGGAGCTGGAGCTGCACCCGGGCCGAGCGCAGGACGTGGCGGTACCCGGCCGGGCTGTGCTCCAGCATCCCGCGGGCAAACAGCGTCCGCACGGCGTCAAAGTCCTTGTCCTGGTACTGCCGGATGCGGTAGGACGCCATGGGAACCTGCGGCACGGCACCGGCGGTCAGCGGTGGGGAGGGTGGGGGGTCACACATGACACAGAGACCGCAGCACCGGGACAGCACAGCCAGGGAGCTGAGCGTCCCCCACAGCTCCTGCAGGTGCTCAGCATCACCCCGCTGGCAGCATCACCCCCTTATAGAGCCCTGGAAGCCTGGTTTGGGTTGAAGGGACCTTAAAGCTCCTCCAGCTCCAAGCCCTGCCACGGGCAGGGACCCCTTCCACCGGAGCAGCTTGCTCCAAGCCCCTGTGTCCAACCTGGCCTTGAGCACTGCCAGGGATGGGGCAGCCACAGCTTCTCCAATCAACCCCTTCCAATGTCCCCCCACCTTCCTTGTATCCCCTCCAACTCTCCCCTCGGGCAGGTTCAAGCCATTCCCCTGGGCCTGGCCCTACATCCCTTGTCCCAGGCCCCTCTCCAGGTTCCCTGCAGCCCCTTCAGGCACTGGAGCCGCTCTCAGGTCTCCCCATCCCACAACAGAGGGGCAGGATCCCCTCCCTGCGCTGCTGCTCACGCTCTGGGGTGCACCCAGCACGGGAGGGGGGGATCTGGACCGGGTCATGGGGAGCTGCTCCTCACCCAGCACCCCCAACTCCCTAAGAGCTCCATCCCAGGCTTCCATCCCGCCCCCACCGCGCGGTCCCTGCCCCACTCCTCCTCCCACCCCCCCCCGCTTTGGGTTCCACCAACCCCCCCCAACCATCTCCCTTCTCATCCCGGGGCTGCAGCAGCCGTGCCTGGGGGCCCGGTCCCACTGCGGGTCCCGGGGACGGAGGGGTTAAAAGGGTTGGACACAGGGGGTCCCCTCTCCCCCTGGTGGAGCCTCCGGGTCCATCCCACCCGCCCCAGGCTGCAGGGATGAGATGGGGATGGGATCGCGAGGAAGAGGGAGCAGGGACCGGGGCGCGGGGAGGAAAGGGAAGGAGGATTTGGGGGTGTTCCCCCCCCCCAATCCCCCCGATCACCCCCAGGACCCCACCACCGCGCACAGGACCTTTGTGTGTGCCCATCCTTCACCCCGAACTGCCGCGGCAGGGACAGAGCAAAGGGAAATGGAGGGGAAACAGGAACGGACCCCCCCCCCCCCGGGGGTGCCCAGGGCACGCTATGGGCTTGTTCCCCTGTTCGGAGGGGGAGAAAGGGGCTCCCCCCCCCGGAAACGGGGTCCAGAGATGCCATAATCACCCCCGTACGTCTGCACTGACCCCATTATGGGGGGGTTAATGGCAACCATAGCACCGCCCCCCGCCTTCAACCCCCCCATCGTAGCCCCCATCCCTCCCACTTCCCGAAGCAGAGCCGGCAGCTTTGCACCCCTTTGTTTAAGCTGGGGGTCCCCATTTAAGCCCATAACCACGACGGGGGGGGGGGCTTTACCTCCCGCACCCCCCCCCCTTATTCTCCTACCCCAGCCCCATTCATCCCCTCCTTCTGCACCCTTTGGGGGGGACCCCCTGGGCCCCCCCCCCCTTCGAGGCTCGGCTCTTACCCGTGACGATGGCTCCGGAGATGCAGCGAGCGCAGGCGCCGGAGGGATGTGGCTTCTGGGGTCACGCTGAGCGCGGGGGGGGGCATTAAGGGGGGTAATGGGGGGGTACCCATTGATGCGGGGATGGGGGGGTCCGGGTTGTGGAGGGGGACGGGCGAAGCCCGTCCCCCTCCACAACCCGGACCCCCCCATCCCCGCCAATGCTTCAGCATCATCCCCCCCTTCTGAGTGGTCCCATTGTGGGGGGGGTTCCCAATGCCCGTTTTAGTTGTGGACCCCCCCTTGAAGAGCCCCTCTATGGGGTGGGGGGACAAAGGTCTTCGGACTTTGCCCTGCTCTTTCACGGTCACTGAGTTGCCTTTGGTACAGCAGGCAAAGGATGGGGCTTAAGGAGATGCGAGGGGACGGGGCGGGGGCACAAGGAGGTCCAAGGAGGGGACAAGGGGGTCTGGGGGATCGTGGTCCCCTTCCCAGTGACACCCATTGGCACAGGGGGTCTGGGGAGTACACAGTGGGGGGGTCATCCCCATGCGTTATGGTAATGTCCAGTGGGTCCAGGTTGGTGCCCCCCCAGTGCTGGACCATTCTCATGGGGGTCCCTGTAGTGCTGGTGCCATCATCCCAGTGAGGATCCCATCCTGAGACCCCATCCCAATGTGGGAAGAACGATCCAGCCCAGTGCTGTGGATGGTCCTTTATTGTTAACACCCCCCCCCCCTTCCAGCAGCAGCCCCTGACCCACAGGCACTGCACAGGGGCCAAGGCGGGGGGCACACGTGGGGAACCCCCCCAAAGGCTTTGGGGCCAGGCTCCCCATGGGAATGCGCTCCTGGGAGCCTGAACTCCGTTGGGAAAGCAGGGACAGCGATGGGGTGGGGATGGCAGCACCCAGACCCCCCCCATTGCGTGTCCCTGAGATGCACCATGGCAATGAACGAACTGGGGGGGACCCAGCACCCTGCTGAGCACAGCACTGAGGGGCACGTGTGGTGGGGCCAGGATGCATCCCCTGCCCTCGTCACTGCCCCCCTGTGCTGGGCACCCCGAATCCTGTGCTGGGCACCCCGAATCCTGTGCTCAGCTCTGGGCCCCTCGCTACGAGACAGACATTGAGGGGCTGGAGAGGGGCTGGTGCAGGGCCTGGAGCACAGGGGTGATGGGGAAGGGCTGAGGGACCTGGGGGGTTCAGATGGAGAAGAGAAGGCTCAGGGGGGACCTGATGGCTCCCTACAAGTGCCTGAGAGGAGGATGGAGCCAGGAGGGGCTGGGCTCTGCTCCCAGGGAACAAGGGATGGGACAAGAGGAAACGGCCTCAAGCTGCCCCAGGGCAGGTTTAGATGGAGCTGAGGAACAATTCCTGCCCCAGAGGGTGCTCAGGCATTGGAACAGGCTGCCCAGGGCAGGGCTGCAGGCACCGGCCCTCCAAGTGTTCACACCTCGTGGAGCCGAGGCCTCAGTGCCATGGGGCAGAGGTGGCCTTGGCAGTCCTTGGGTGGCCCGGCTGATCCGGAAACTCTTTTCCACCCTGGATGATCGCACGGTTCCATCACTCCATGGCTGCCTGCTCCCGGGGCGGCGGCGGTGCCGACTCGCTGCTGCCCAGCTCGTAGCGGTAGGTGGTGATGGTGCAGTTGGCCAGGTGCCCGTAGACGGTTGGCAGCACGTACTGGCGGTGCCGGCGGAACCCCAGGCGCTCGTAGAGCGCTCGCGCCTCGTGCTGCACCATCAGCGTGTTGAGCACCACGGCCCGGCAGCCGCGCTGCCGCGCGAAGGCCAGCGCCGCCCTGCCCAGCGCCGCGCCGATGCCCTGCCCGCGGTACCCGCGCCGCACCGACATCCGCTTCAGCACCAGCTCCCCGTCGCCGCCATCGCCGCCTCCGTCCGCCGCCGCCGGCCGCACGCCCACCGTGCCCACCACCCGCTCGTCCGCCTCGGCCACCCAGAAGCGGGCGCCGGCACCGGGGCCGTAGGCAGCGGCGATGTCGCGCAGGTCGGCGTCGAGGCACCGTTGGATGTAGGCGTCCCAAGCGCAGCCCAGGATGTGCCGCGCCAGCGCCAGCACCAGCGCCAGCGCCAGCAGCGGCAGCAGCAGCGAGCGCGCGCTCGCCAGCAGCAGGCAGAAGGTGCAGGCCAGCAGCAGCAGCGCCCAGGGCCGCCGCAGCACGTGCAGGCACAGCGCCGGCGCGTGCTCGCTCATCCCGGCCGCGAACACCTCCCGCACGGCGGCGTAGTCGCTGTCCCGGTACGGGCGGATGCGGAAGGGGACCATGGTTGGTGCTGCCGGGGGGGGGGATGTGGGTCAGATACCACGGGCTATGGGCAGGGTGAGGGTGGGTGCCCCAGCCCCATGGGCATGGCCCCATTGCACCGCACAGGCCTGTTCTGCCCCGCAAGGGACCATTCCCCACCCCACCAGCAGCAACCCCGCAGCCCTCCCCTTAAATCCACCCTGCTTGCACCATGGGGACCCCCTTAGAAACCTATGGGGACCCCCCCAGCACCCACCAGACCACCCAGTGCCCCCATAGCCCCCAGCACCCCTGGACCCCTCCAATGCTCCCATGGTCCCAGCACCACTGGACAGCCCCTTCCTAATGCCCTCATGTCCCCACTAATGCCCCATGGTCCCAGACACTCCCCAGTGCCCCCATGGTCCCAGCATCCCATGACCTCACCTCAGTGACCCCAGCATCCCCACTGCCCTAGATCCCTCCCCATTGCTACCATGGTCCCAGACTTACCTGAAGCCCCCTCCCCCGTGTCCTATAGTCCCACCCCATGGGACAATATAGTCCCTATTGGCCCACCCCAATGCCTCTATGGCCACAGCATCCCCCAGGTCTTAGACCCCTTCCCAGTGTCCCCATGGCCCCAGCATCACCCAGTGCCCCCATGCTCCTAGACCCCCAGCCCAGTGCCCCGATGGCCCCAGCATCACCCAGTGCCCCCATGCTCCTAGACCCCCAGCCCAGGGCCCCAATGGTCTCAGCCCTCCTGGACCCCCCCAATGCCCCCATGATCCTAGACACCAGCCCCCCGGGTGACCCCACGATCCTAGCCCCCCATGGCCCCAGTACCCCCCAGTACCCCCATAGTCCCAGCACCCCATGGGCCCCCCCCCAGTGTCCCCAGCATCCCCACGGTCCTAGACCCACCTCCAGCGCCCCCACGGCCCCAGCTCCCCATGGCCCCCCCATCATCCCCATGGTCCCAAACCCCCCCCATTGCCCCCATGTTCGCACACCCCCTCCGCCCGCACCGGTACCGCCTCCAGCTCCCGCCTGACGCCGACAGGACTCGTAGCCCATTGGCCACCGCGCCTGCCGGGACACGCCCCTCCCGCTCCCATCAGCCAATAGGCGTTCAGCGTAGGGGAGACGTCATGGGCAGGACAGCTATCCGAGTGGGCGGGGTGAGAAAGGGGAGGGGCCAAGGAGGTGGAGGCCTCGTTGACCTTCAACATAGGGGGCGTGGTCAGAGGAGGGGCGTGGCCTCTCTGGGAGGGGCGTGGCTTGCGGAGGCGGGAGGAGCGCTGCCCGCCCGTTCGCTCTCACTCTGCATATCCAGTTCCCGTTCCTGTTCCCGTTCCCGCTCCATTTCCCGCTTCATTTTCCGTTCCCATTTCCCGTTCCCGCTCCCATTCCCGTTCCCATTCCCATTTCCGCTCCCATTCCAGCTCCCGTTCCCGCTCCATTTCCCGCTCCCATTCCCGTTCCCGCTCCCGTTCCCATTCCCGTTCCCATTCCCGCTCCCATTCCCGTTCCCGCTCCGTTCCCGTTCCCGCTCCATTTCCTGCTCCATTTCCCGCTCCCATTCCCTTTTCCACTCCCGTTCCCGCTCCATTTCCCGCTCCCGTTCCCGCTCCCGTTCCCATTCCCGTTCCCATTCGCGCTCCATTCCCGTTCCCCCTCCATTTCCCTCTTTATTTCCCGTTCCCATTCCCGCTCCCGTTCCCGCTCCGCACAGACCCGCTGCAGCCGGCCCCGGGGCAGCGCCCCCATCTTTACTGGACAGCGCCCGCACTGCGGTGACCCCGGCAGCGCCCGCTCCGGCCCCGGCCCCCGGTTGCCCCTCGCCGAGCCCGCGGCGCCGGGGCTGCGGCCGCCCGGTCAGGGTGCGCGGCGCTGGGCGCGCAGGCGGCGGAGGCGCCGTCGCTGCAGGCGCAGGGGCCGGTCCGGGGGCAGGCGGCTCCCCCGCGGGCGCGGGGCCCGGCGCAGGCGGAAGCTGCAGGGGGTGGGCACGTTCTCGAAGGGGACCCGGCACGGCTGCGTGGCCGCCTCGTAGCCCTCGGCCCGCGCCGTCACCTCGTACTCGCCCGGGTTCAGCAGCCGCCAGTAGTCCCCGTGGAAGGCTGCGGCGGGGGGATGCCCCTGCAGGGCCTCATCCTGCTCCCCCGTCCCGTCCTCATTCCCAGCCTCATCCCGCTTCCATCTCCATCCCATTCGCATCCTTGTTCCTGTTCCCAGCCCACCCCCATTCCATTCCCACCTCCATTTCCAGTCCCAATCCTGTTCCTGTCCCAACCCCCATTTCCAGACCAATCCTATTTCCATCCCCAATCCTGTTCCCATCCTCATTCCCAACCTCATCCCATTCCCATCCCCTTCCCAGTTCCATTCCCAGACCCATTCCTGTCCCATTCCCATCCCCAGCCTCATCCTATTTCCAGCCTCAGTCTTATTCCCATCCCCAATCCCATTCCCTTCCCCATCCCCAATCCTATTCCTATCCCCATCCCCATTCCCAGTTTAGGCCTATTTCCATCCTCATCCCCAGTCCCATCCCCAAATCCACTCCCACCCCCATTCCCATCCGCATCCCACCGTACCCGTCCGGATGTCGTGGTTGATGCCATCCACAGAGATGATGGCGTTGGCGATTCCCTCGTCCGTGTCTCCATCCCGGACTACCCCCTTAATCCCACGGTGAACCTGAGGACCACGGGCCCGAGCCGGTGGCACACACGTGTGCGCACACATGAACACACGTGCGCACACACACGAATACACATGAGCACACACACGAATACACGTGCGCGCACACACACGAATACACGTGCACACACACACAAATACACGTGCGCACACATGAACACACGTGCGCACACACACGAATACACGTGCGCACACACACGAATACACGTGCGCACACACACGAATACACGTGAGCACACACGAATACACGTGCGCACACACACGAATACACGTGAGCACACACACGAATACACGTGCACACACACACGAATACACGTGAGCGCACACACGAATACACGTGCGCACACACACACGAATACACGTGAGCACACACACGAATACACGTGCGCACACACACACGAATACACGTGAGCACACACACGAATACACGTGCGCACACACGAATACACGTGCACACACACGAATACACGTGCGCACACACACGAATACACGTGCGCACACACACGAATACATGTGCACACACATGAATACACGTGCGCACACACACGAATACACGTGAGCACACACGAATACACGTGTGCACACACACGAATACACATGAGCACACACACGAATACAGGTGAGCACACACACGAATACACGTGCGCACACACACGAATACACGTGAGCACACACGAATACACGTGCACACACACATGCACACACGTACCCCGGTGCAGGTCACACCTCACACGCTGCAGGGTGCATGGGGGACGATGGAGCCTTGGGGTGTTTGGGGACCCCAAGCCGTGTCCCGCTCAGCCCCCGCAGTGTCCCCCCCATGTCCCGGACCCCCGGGTGCCCCCATCCCTGACCTGCTCCATGTAGAGCAGGAGGGACTCCCGGTTGTTCTCCCACTCTGCCGGCAGCTCGGAGGCGTGCGGGAACTTGTCGCAGGAGAGCTCCACGGTGATCTCGAAGCAGTTGGTGTGCAGGTAGCTGAAGTCGTTCATGCCTGGGCAGGACACAAGGGGGGGGTCAGGGGGTCCCCATCCCTGTCGCCCCCCCACGCCGTCCCCTCCGCACTCACTGCCGGGCACCGTGTGCCAGTTGGCGCCGTTGATGATGTTGCCGTAGCGGGTGAAGTCGTCGTAGTGGCAGAGGCGCCGCTCCTCGCTGGCCATGGCCAGGTTGGACGTGGCGTACACGGTGGCCAGCCAGCGGAACACGCCGTCGTCGGCCGTCGGGGTGAGCTCCTGCGCCTTCCAGTAGGTGCGGGTCATGTCGAAGGGGTAGGTGACCACCAGCTCCCCGCCGTGCAGGTTGGCGCTCAGCACGAACGGGTACCGCTGCATCCAGTCGATCACCGCCCGCGTCTCCGGCGCCACCTGCGGGCACCGCGGAGGGTCCTGGGGGTGAATTCCCAATCCCAGCCACCCCCACCGCACCTCCAGCCCTTGGCAGCCTGGGCATCCCATCCCGGAGCCCGTACACAGCCACCTGCGCCGGCCTGGCTGTCCTCATCCTGTACCAGCCTGGCCGTCCTCATCCCATCCCACCCCATCCTCATCCTGCACCGGCCTGGCTGTCCTCATCCCATCCCACCCCATCCTCATCCTGCGCCGGCCTGGCTGTCCTCATCCTGCACCGGCCTGGCTGTCCTCATCCCATCCCACCCCATCCTCATCCTGCACCGGCCTGGCTGTCCTCATCCCATCCCATACCATCCCATACCATCCCACCCCATCCTCATCCTGCATCAGCCTGGGTGTCCTCATCCCACCCCATCCTCATCCTGCACCGGCCTGGCTGTCCTCATCCCATCCCATCCCACCCCATCCTCATCCTGCACCGGCCTGGCTGTCCTCATCCCATCCCATCCCACCCCATCCTCATCCTGCACCATCCTGGCACCCCATCCCATCCCATCCCACCCCATCCTCATCCTGTACCGGCCTGGCTGTCCTCCTCCCATCCCATCCCACCCCATCCTCATCCTGCACCGGCCTGGCTGTCCTCATCCCATCCCACCCCATCCTCATCCTGCACCGGCCTGGCTGTCCTCATCCCATCCCCTCCCACCCCATCCTCATCCTGCACCGGCCTGGCTGTCCTCATCCCATCCCACCCCATCCTCATCCTGTACCGGCCTGGCTGTCCTCATCCCATCCCATCCCATCCCACCCCATCCTCATCCTGCACCAGCCTGGGTGTCCTCATCCCACCCCATCCTCATCCTGCACCGGCCTGGCTGTCCTCATCCCACCCCATCCCATCCCATCCTCATCCTGCACCGGCCTGGGTGTCCTCATCCCATCCCATCCCATCCCATCCCACCCCATCCTCATCCTGCACCAGCCTGGGTGTCCTCATCCCATCCCACCCCATCCTCATCCTGCACCGGCCTGGCTGTCCTCATCCCACCCCATCCCATCCCATCCTCATCCTGCACCGGCCTGGGTGTCCTCATCCCATCCCATCCTCATCCTGCACCAGTCTGGGTGTTCTCATCCCACCCCATCCTCATCCTGTACCAGCCTGGGTGTCCTCATCCCATCCCATCCTCATCCAGCACCAGCCTGGGTGTCCTCATCCCATCCCATCCTCATCCTGTACCAGCCTGGGTGTCCTCATCCCATCGCGGATCCCGTACACATCCACCTGCACTGGCCTGAGTGTCCTCATCCCATCCCATCCCATCCCATCCCATCCCATCCCATCCCATCCCATCCCATCCCATCCTCATCCACCTGCACAAACCTGGACGTCCCTGTCCCCCCATTCTCCTTCCCACACAGCCCATCCCCAGCCACCCCATCCCCACCCTACCTCAGCCTGGGTGTCCCATCCCATCCCTATCCACTGGCACCAACTTGGGCATCCCTCTCCCCACCCTTCCCATCCATCAGCATCCCCATCACCCTGGGCATCCCCAGCCACCCCATCCCCACCCTGCACCAGCCTGGATGTCCTCATCCCATCCCATCGCCATGGCCAGGACCCCCATGGCCAAACCCCATGGGTTGCACGCCCAGGACGGAGGGCATCCCCCGGCGCACCGGCACAGGGGGACCGGCACGGGGCTCACCGTGGCGTTGGCGAAGGTGTAGTACTCGGGGATGGGGATGTAGTGGTTGGGGAACTCGTGGGGCACCAAGTCATTGTCCTCAGCATCCCACAGCGCCGTGTTGAGGTCGGCGAAGTTGTGGTTGAGGTCGATGCCCTCGTAGGTCCAGCGGCCCATGGCCCAGCCCGACAGCTCCGAGCCCTGCCGCGGGAGGGGGTCACCAGCACGGCGCCGGGACGGTGCTCGGCCCCCGGCACCGGCGGCGGGGCCCTACCAGCTTGTAGGCGGTCTCGTAGCCGTCGGGGTTCATGGAGGGCAGGAGGTGGATGCGGGTCTCGGTCACCAGCTGCACCACGCGGGGGTTGCCGGCCCGGAACTCCTGGCACAGGTATTCCATGAGGTTGAGCAGCAGCTCCCGGCCCAGCACCTCGTTGCCGTGCATCCCGGCCACGTAGCGGAACTCCGGCTCTCCTGCGGGACCGGCACCGGTGTGGTGGTGAGGGGACCACGGCTGCCCTGGTCCCCTGTGCCCCGTGATAGCCCGGGCATCCCTGGGGACTGTCCCCATCTGCCTGAGCCAGCCCGGGTGTCCCATCCTATCCCATGCCATGCCATCCCATGCCATGCCATGCCATCCCATGCCATGCCATGCCATCCCATCCCACCCCATCCCATCCCATCCCATCCCATCCCATCCCATCCCATCCCATCTCTATCTTCCCACATCAGCCAGGGTGTCTGCAGACACCCCGTCCCCATCCTACACTGCCATGGGCACCCCATCTGATCTCATCTGATCCCATTGGATCCTATCCCCCATCCACCCATACCAGCCTGGGCATCCCACCTCACCTCATCCCATCACCCTCTGTCTGCACAGCCACCTGGGTGTCCCCAGCTGCCCCATCCCCATCCTGCACCAGCCTGGATGTTCCATCCCATCCCCATCACATCTCCAACCCATCCCCATCCCTATCCCCATCCCATCCCCATCTCCATTACATCCCCATTCCATTTCCAACCCATCCTCATCCCTATCCCCATCCCATCCCCATCTCCATTACATCCCTATCCCATCTCCATCCCATCCCCATCCTTATCCCCATCCCTATCCCATCCCCATTCTATCTCCATCCCATCCCCATCCTTATCCCCATCCCCATCCCCATTACATCCCTATCCCATCTCCATCCCATCCCCATCCTTATCCCCATCCCTATCCCATCCCCATTCTATCTCCATCCCATCCCCATCCTTATCCCCATCCCCATCCCCATCCCCATTACATCCCTATCCCATCTCCAACCCATCCCCATCCCTATCCCCATCCCATCCCACCCCATCTGACCCCACCGCATCCCATCCTAACCCACCCCACCCCACCCCATCCAATCCCACCCCATCTGACCCCACCCCACCCCATCCCATCCCACCCCATCCCATCCTGTCCCACCGCACCCCACCGCACCCCACCCCGCAGGTCACGTACCCACTTCGTGCTGCCCGGGCTTGTCCGAGATCTCCATGACGTACATCTTGAGGCCCAGGTAGCTCTTCCCGATGCTGTAGACGCGGGTGATGTCGGGACACTCCTCGCTCACCCGCTTCATCAGCTGGGGCAGGCACAGGGCGCTGGGTCAGGGTGCGGGGGCACCCAGGGCTGCAGAGCCCCGGTCCCACACCAGGGTGCCCCGGGGGGGGGCGGGGGAGCCGGCACCTTTCGCATCTCCTTGTAGTTGTGGTGGCGGAAATCCAGGCGGGTGCCGGGCTGGGGCTGCCCGTGCTGGGCGCGGATGTTGCTGGGGTCTGGGGGCCGGGGGGGACAGGGTCAGGGCCGGAGCCAGCGCCGGGGGGCGGGCAGGGGCCGGGGCGGGCACGCACCGGGCAGCGGGCAGCCCAGCACCTCGGCCCGCAGGCAGATGGTGCCGTTGGGGAACCAGGACTGCGGGTTGATGCGCAGGTACCGCGCCACGGCCGGCTCCGGCAGCACGTTCAGAACGGGAGTCTCGGGGTCCTTGTTCCCGGGGAACACCTGGGGGGAGCGCGGATGGGAGGGGAGGGGAGGGGATGGGGGGGCTGTGGGGATGGGGTGGGATGGGGTGGGATGGGGGGGCTGTGGGGATGGGATGGGATGGGATGGGGGGGCTGTGGGGATGGGGTGGGGGGGCTGTGGGGATGGGGTGGGATGGGATGGGATGGGGGGGCTGTGGAGATGGGGTGGGGGGGCTGTGGGGATGGGGTGGGATGGGATGGGATGGGATGGGATGGGGGGGGCTGTGGGGATGGGATGGGGGCTGTGGGGATGGGGTGGGATGGGGTGGGATGTGGGGGCTGTGGGGATGGGATGGGGGGGCTGTGGAGATGGGGTGGGATGGGATGGGATGGGGGGGGCTGTGGGGATGGGATGGGGCATGGGGAATGTGGTGCTGTGGGGGGATGGGGATGGGATGGGACTGTAGGGATGTGGTGCTGTGGGGATGGGGGCTGTGGGAAGGGGGACCAGTGGGAAAGGGGTGCTGTGGGGGATGTGGGGATGGGGGATACAGAGGTGTGGGGCTGGGGGGGGGCTGTGCAGTGGGGGGCTGTGAGGATGGGGATGTGCGGATGGGGGCTGTGGGAAGGGGGAGCAGTGGGAAAGGGGGCTGTGGGAATGGGAGGATGAGGGGATGGGGATATAGAGATGTGGGAAGGGGGGGCTGTGCATTGGGGGGCTGTGAGGATGGGGATGTGGGGACGGGGGCTGTGGGAAGGGGGAGCGGTGGGATGGGGGGGCTGTGGGAAGGGGGGGCTGTGCAATGGGGGGATGAGGGGATGGGGATGTGGGGACGGGGGCTGTGGGCACTGGGGCTGCGCACGGAGGGGTCAGCGGAGGCGCTGCGGCACCCGAGGGGTTACAGGCTCCGCGGCCGCATCCGGCCTCCCCTGGCCCCGCTCCAGCCCCTAACGAGGAGCAGACACGGGCTGGGAACCGGGAACGGTCCCGGCCCTGCCGAGGAGGAGCCAGAGCCCAGCGGAGCCGCAGGGCTGAGGCTGCTGCTGCTGCTGCTGCTCTGCCCCCCAGCACCGGCACCCAGCACCCGCACGGGAGGGGACCAGGGATGAGCACAGCGACCCCAAACCTGCCCCTGATGCGGCCCTGGCACAGGGACCCCAAACCCACCTCAGCACAGGGGCCCAGACTCGTTCCCGGCACAGCCCTGGCACAGGGACCCCTAAACCCTGTTCAATACAGGGACCCCCAGCCCATCCTGACACAGGGACCCCAAACTTACTCCTGGCACAGCCCTGGCGCAGGGACCCCCAAACCTGACAGCGGCAAAGGGACCCCTAAACCCATTCCAATACAGGGACCCCCAAACCTGCCCCAGCACAGCCCTGGCACAGGGACCCCTAAACCCTGGACAATACAGGGACCCCCAACCCATCCTGACACAGGGACCCCAAACTTGCTCCTGGCACAGGGACCCCCAAACCTGACAGCGGCAAAGGGACCCCTAAACCCATTCCAATACAGGGACCCCCAAACCTGCCCCAGCACAGCCCTGGCACAGGGACCCCGAAGCTTCCTCTTGGCACAGGGACCCCAAATGCAGCAGAGGGGGACCCCAAACCTGCCCCAGTGCATGGATCCCAAACTCCCCCCAGGCCAGTGCTGGCTCAGGGACCCCAAGCACCAGTGCCTGTGCTGTGCATGGGAGCACCCCTGTGTTCCCCCACCTCCGTCCTTGCACCCACGTGTACCCCTATGTGTGCAGCCCCCCCTGCCCCGGGCATGGGGCAGCCGTGGTCACCTCTGGGCACAGCTGGATGTGCCACGCACACGTGTGTGAGCCCTTGGCGTGTTCACGCGTGCGAGCCCTTGGCGTGTTCACACGTGCGAGCCCTTGGCGTGTTCACATGTGTGAGCCCTTGGCGTGTTCACATGTGTGAGCCCTTGGCGTGTTCACACGTGTGTGCGCCCTTGGCGTGTTCACACGTGCGCGCCCTTGGCGTGTTCACACATGTGAGCCCTTGGCGTGTTCACGCGTGCGAGCCCTTGGCGTGTTCACGCGTGCGAGCCCTTGGCGTGTTCACGTGTGTGCGCCCTTGGCGTGTTCACACGTGTGCGCCCTTGGCATGTTCACATGTGTGAGCCCTTGGCATGTTCACATGTGTGAGCCCTTGGCGTGTTCACGCGTGTGAGCCCTTGGCGTGTTCACGCGTGCGAGCCCTTGGCGTGTTCACGCGTGCGCGCCCTTGGCGTGTTCACGCGTGCGAGCCCTTGGCGTGTTCACGCGTGCGAGCCCTTGGCGTGTTCACGCATGCGCGCCCTTGGCGTGTTCACATGTGTGCGCCCTTGGCGTGTTCACACGTGTGAGCCCTTGGCGTGTTCACGTGTGTGCGCCCTTGACGTGTTCACACGTGTGAGCCCTTGGCATGTTCACACGTGTGAGCCCTTGGCGTGTTCACGTGTGTGCGCCCTTGACGTGTTCACATGTGTGAGCCCTTGGCATGTTCACACGTGTGCGCCCTTGGCGTGTTCACGCGTGCGCGCCCTTGGCGTGTTCACATGTGTGAGCCCTTGGCATGTTCACACGTGTGCCGGGGGGGCTGGCAGCGGGGACAAGCAGCCTTTGTGCAGGAGGGAAGTGCTGCAGGACGCTCTGGGATGGGGGAGCCAAAGGCAACAGAGCCCAGCGCCAAGCAGCACCGTTAACCCCTGCTGCGGGTACCCCCCCCATGGTTAAACCCCTCCATGCCCTCGCTCTGCCCGGGGAACCGGGGGTGCTGGGGGTCCCCATCCCCTTTCCCCCTGCCCCCGGGCACCTACCGCCTCCTCGGTGCCGTTGCGGCACGGGTGCCACGTGTAGGTGTCGTTGCTGACCTGCACCTTGTAGGACGTCACCCAATCGTACCTGCAAGGGGACAGGGTCAGTGGGTGCCCCCCCCCGGCCCCCCCCGGCTGCCTGCGCCCTCCCTTACGTCCAGATGGAGTTGAGGCCCTGGGTGATGACGCCGGTGAAGTTGGTGAGGCCGCGGGCATCCACCTGCAGCCACTGCCCCGCGTCCTCCTGCCCCGCGCACCAGCCCCCGTCGTAGAAGTCCCCATCGTAGAGCCCTGACTGGGGGGGGGAGCAGGGATGGGGGGGGATGCAGGGACCTGCCCCCAGCCCCGGCACCCACCGCATGGGGGGGATGTGGGGCCCGTGGTGTGTGACAGGCACAGGGCATGCATGCGCTGCATGGGGCACGTGGGGTGTGCGCGCGTCATGTGTGTCACGTGCTGTGCGAGTGTCACAGGTACCGTGCACACGCAGAGCACACGCAGAGCACACAAGTTCCGTGCACACGCCATGCGCACAGCACACACACACACCATGCACACACACACACACACGCCATGCACACACACACGCCATGCACACACACACGCCATGCACACACACACCATGCACACATACAGCACACACACACGCCATGCACACACACACCCCATGAACACACACTCACACACCCGCAGCACACCCGTGCCGTGCACTCACCATGCACTCACCATGCACACACACACACTCACACCCCATGCACACACACACACACACTCACACACCCGCAGCACACTTGTGCTGTGCACTCACCATGCACTCACCATGCACACACACTCACACACCCCATGCACACACACTCACACACCCCATGCACACACACTCACACACCCGCAGCACACCCGTGCCGTGCACTCACCATGCACACACACACTCACCATGCACTCCCCATGCACACACACACACTCACACACACACCATGCACACCCGCAGCACACCCGTACCGTGCACACACACACACCCCATGCACACACACACACTCACACCCCATGCACGCACACACACTCACACACCCGCAGCACACCCGTGCCGTGCACACACACACCATGCACACACACACACACACACACACCATGCACACACCCGCAGCACACCCGTGCCGTGCCGTCCCCCCCCGGTCCCGTTGCCCCCCGCTCCCGGCCGGGCCGTACCTGGATGTTGAGGCGGCCGCGGTGCGCTCCCAGCCCGTAGCGCTTGGTGCTGGAGGCGCGGAGCTGCGAGTCCCGCACCCGGAGCGACTCCAGCCCCAGGGGGGGGCACGCTGCGGGCAGGGGGGGGCCGCGGTCACACAGGGACCCCCGGGCACGGCCCCGCCGCGCGCCCTGACTGCACACGGGTGTACAAGGGGTTCCTGTGTGCACACGGGTGTGCAAGGGGGGGTTCCTGTGTGCACACGGGTGTGCAGGGGGGGTTCCTGTGTGCACACGGGTGTGTAACGGGGGGTTCCTGTGTACACACGGGTGTGCAAGGGGGGTTCCTGTGTGCACACGGGTGTGCAAGGGGGGGTTCCTGTGTGCACACGGGTGTGCAAGGGGGGGTTCCTGTGTGCACACGGGTGTGCAAGGGGGGGTTCCTGTGTGCACACGGGTGTGCAAGGGGTTCCTGTGTGCACACGGGTGTGCAAGGGGTTCCTGTGTGCACACGGGTGTGCAAGGGGGGGGTCCTGTGTGCACACGGGTGTGCAAGGGGGGTTCCTGTGTGCACACGGGTGTGCAAGGGGTTCCTGTGTGCACACGGGTGTGCAAGGGGGGTTCCTGTGTGCACACGGGTGTGCAAGGGGGGTTCATGTGTGCACACGGGTGTGCAAGGGGGGTTCCTGTGTGCACACGGGTGTGCAAGGGGTTCCTGTGTGCACACGGGTGTGCAAGGGGGGGGTTCCTGTGTGCACACGGGTGTGCAGGGGGGGTCCTGTGTGCACACGGGTGTGCAGGGGGTTCCTGTGTGCACACGGGTGTGCAAGGGGTTCCTGTGTGCACACGGGTGTGCAAGGGGGTTCCTGTGTACACACGGGTGTGCAAGGGGTTCCTGTGTGCACACGGGTGTGCAAGGGGTTCCTGTGTGCACACGGGTGTGCAGGGGGTTCCTGTGTGCACACGGGTGTGCAGGGGGGGTTCCTGTGTGCACACGGGTGTGCAAGGGGGGGTCCTGTGTGCACGGGTGTGCCAGGGGGGGTTCCTGTGTGCACACGGGTGTGCAAAGGGGGGTCCTGTGTGCACACGGGTGTGTAAGGGGGGGGTCCTGTGTGCACACGGGTGTGTAAGGGGGGGTTCCTGTGTGCACACGGGTGTGCAAGGGGGGGGTCCTGTGTGCACACGGGTGTGCAAGGGGTTCCTGTGTGCACACGGGTGTGCAAGGGGGTTCCTGTGTGCACACGGGTGTGCAAGGGGGTGTTCCTGTGTGCACACGGGTGTGCAAGGGGGGGTTCCTGTGTGCACACGGGTGTGCAAGGGGGGGGTTCCTGTGTGCACACGGGTGTGCAAGGGGGGGTTCCTGTGTGCACATGGGTGTGCAAGGTGGGGGGTTTCCTGTGTGCACACGGGTGTGCGGGGGGGGTTCCTGTGTGCACACGGGTGTGCAAGGGGGTTCCTGTGTGCACAGGGGTGTGCAAGGTGGGGGGTTTCCTGTGTGCACACGGGTGTGCAGGGGGGGTCCTGTGTGCACACCCATGGCAGCGCGGGGACACGTGTGTCATAGCATGTGCCAGGCACAGGCTGCGGGTGCTGCCAGGCGCTGAGCACCCAGCTCACACATGTGAGTGCATGGCACTGAGGCGTGCACACGCGTGTGCAGCCGTGTCGCGGTGGCGAGGGTACGTACAAGGCTCCTGTGGAGCAGCCGTGTCCTTGGCTGGAGCCTTCGGCCTCTTCTTCAGCACCTTCTTCTTCAGCACCTTCTTCCTCACCACTTTAACCCGCACCACCTTCCTCCGGGGTGCTGCAGCTGGAGATGGGCACAGGGACCCCTGAGTGGTGGGACCCCGGGGTGGGGTGATGGGGCCCCCCTGGGGCGGGGGGACCCCCATAGTGGGGTGTCCCCAGGGTACTGGGGTCCACAGAAGCGCCTGGAGCAGAGGCGCACCGACCTTCAGGGACCCCTGCACCCCTCACTCGGGCTGGTGCATGGATGCACACGCAAGCCACACACGTGCGTACTTGCATGCACACACACACACGTGTACACACACTTTGAGCCATCCCCCGTGACACCCGCCCCGTGCACACAAAGGTGTGCAACCCTCCACGCACAGAGCTGTGCACACATCCCTGCGTCTGCATCCCTGTATCCCTGTGCACACATCCCTGTGTGTGCATCCCTGCATCCCTGTGCACACATCCCTGGGTGTGCATCCCTGCATCCCTGTGCACACATCCCTGTGTGTGCATCCCTGCATCCCTGTGTGTGCATCCCTGTGCACACATCCCTGTGTGTGCATCCCTGCATCCCTGTTTGTGCATCCCTGCATCCCTGTGCACACATCCCTGTGTGTGCATCCCTGCATCCCTGTTTGTGCATCCCTGCATCCCTGTGCACACATCCCTGTGTGTGCATCCCTGCATCCCTGTGTGTGCATCCCTGTGCACACATCCCTGGGTGTGCATCCCTGCATCCCTGTGTGTGCATCCCTGCATCCCTGTTTGTGCATCCCTGCATCCCTGTGCACACATCCCTGTGTGTGCATCCCTGCGCACACATCCCTGTGTGTGCATCCCTGCATCCCTGTGCACCCATCCCTGTGAGTGCATCCCTGCATCCCTGTGCACACATCCCTGTGCACACATCCCTGTGAGTGCATCCCTGCATCCCTGTGCACACATCACTGCGTGTGCATCCCTGCATCCCTGTGCACACATCCCTGTGCACACATCCCTGTGAGTGCATCCCTGCATCCCTGTGCACACATCCCTGCGTGTGCATCCCTGCGTGTGCATCCCTGCATTCCTCTGCACACATCCCTGTGTGTGCATGCCTGCATCCCTGTGTGTGCATCCCTGCATCCCTCTGCATACATCCCTGTGCACACATCCCTGTGCACTCACACTTTTGTTCACACATATCCCCGTGTGCACACACACACAAGGGTTGTGCACCCCCCTGCACCCAGGGCTCTGCACACGGGTGTCCTCGCACATACACGCGCTTGAGCACACAACTCCTTGCACACGCAGCCATGCACATACAGAGCTGTGCACACGTAGCTGTGCATCCCCCTGCACCCAGAGCTGGGCACAGGCACCCACAGAGCTGAGCACACACGTCCCTGTGCACACACGGTTCTGCACCACGTCCTGCACACAAGGCTGTGCACGTGTGTGCTCAGAGGGGCACTCACTTGTGCACAGCACCCCATGCACACGGTTGTTCACGCACACAGGACTGTGCACACGCACTTGTGCACACACACCCCTGCACACACACACACCCCTGCACACACACACGCACACACACGCGCACACACATGCACACACACACATGTACACACACACCCCTGCACACACACCCACCCACCCCCCTGCACACACACATGCGCACACACATGCACACACACATGTGCGCGCACACACACATGTGCACACACACACATGCACACACACACGTGCACACACACATGCACACACACACGTGCGCACACACACACGTGCACACACACATGTGCACACACACATGTGCACACACACGCGCACACACACATGTGCACACGCACACATGTGCACACACACACATGCACACACACACGCGCACACACACATGTGCACACACACACATGCACACACACACATGTGCACACACACACACACGTGCACACACACACACTTGCACAGACACACGCACAATGCACACACACTCACACATGTGCACACACACACACGTGCACACACACATGTGCACACACTTGCACACATGTGCGCACACACACATGCACACACACACACACGTGCACACACACACACACATGTGCACACACACACATGCACACACCCCCACACACCCGTGCACACCCCCACACCCGTTCCGAGCCGTTCACCCCCCGGTCCCGGCCGTGCTCACGCTCACACTTGTGCACGCCCCCCCCCGCCCGCGCCCCCCCCGTGCTCTGTTCCCCCCCCCCGTTTCCTACCTGCGGTCCCGGCCCCCCCCTCGGGCGGGCGCCCGGGGGCAGCGGGGCTGGAGGGGGGGGCGGTGTTGGGGGGCGCCGCCGTGGCCGCCCCGGTGCCGTTGCGGGGTCCCGGGGCGGTGCCTCCCGGGGCGCCCATCGCCGTGGCGCCGGGGCGGGGGGGAGCGGCGCGGGCGGGGGGCACCGGGGGGAGCAGCGGCAGCAGCAGCGGCAGCAGCAGCGCCAGGGGCAGCCCCGCCATGGCCGCGGGGAGCGGAGCGGAGCGGAGCGGGCCCGGCGCGGCTCGTCCCGGACCTCCCCTCCCCTCGCCCTCCCCTCCACGCCCCCCATCACCCCCTCCCCCTGGCCGGGGGGGTACCGGGACACCGGGACACAGGGACACGGGGACACGGAGACACCGGGACACAGGGACACGGGGACACAGGGACACGGGGACACCGGGACACCGGGACACTGGGACACGGGGACACCGGGACACCGGGACACCGGGACACGGGGACACCGGGACACCGGGACACTGGGACACGGGGACACCGGGACACCGGGACACAGGGACACTGGGACACGGGGACACCGGGACACCGGGACACAGGGACACTGGGACACGGGGACACAGGGACACCGGGACACGGGGACACCGGGGCATAGGGACACAGGGACACGGGGACATGGGGACACCGGGACACGGGGACACCGGGACACCGGGACACTGGGACACCGGGACACAGGAACACGGGGACACCGGGACACCGGGACACGGGGACACCGGGACACTGGGGCACAGGGACAGTGGGACCCCCGGCGCTGTGGGGTACAACCGCTCTCTCCCCTCCTTTTGACCGGCAGCTCCGAGAGCCCCCTCCGGTGGGGACACGGGGTCCAGCCCCCCCCCCCCCCCCTGCTGCCCCCAGTACCGTACGGCATCCCCATTGTCCCAGCATCACTCAGTGTCCCCCAATCCCCAGCATAATGCCCCTCGTCCTCACACCACGTCCACTGTCCCCAGCACTGTCCCCCCCCCCCTTGCACCCCACAGTGTTCCCATTACCCTTGCACCATGTCCCCACTGTCCCCATCACCATTCAGTATCCCCACTGCCCCAGCACCCCGCAGTGTCCCCACTGTCCTTGCACTGTGTCCTCAGCATCCCCCAGTGTCCCCAGCATCCCAGCACAGACGGTTCTTGACCCAGCTCCCTGTTCCAAACGTGAGGAGCATCCCCTTGGCACCACGGTACCAGCCCCCAGCACCACTGAGCTGGGCAGAGGGGCACTGGGCACCGGTGGGATGAGGCCCATGTGATGGATCCATGCCCTGGTCCCATGGGACACCCGCGGTCCCTTCCTTCGTGACCCAGTGTGGCCAGGATGGGCTAAGGGGATGCCTTTGTTCCTAGTGTTGGGAGTGCCACGGCCTGTGTCCCCCCCAAACCCGATCCCACTCCCCCCTGGGCTATCCCAGCCCTTCCCTGTCTAATGCTGCCTTTTCCCATGGCGAGGAATGCAGGGGCTTCATCACCCCCCCATCCCATCATCCCTCCATCCACCATCCTGCCATCCCTCCTTGCAGCCTCCCCGCATCCGGTGCTGCCGCCGGCCGAGCCCGGGGACCCGGGAGGTCCCGGGAACTGCCTGAGCCGGCTCCGCAGCCAAATCCCGGCCCTGATCCAGCAGGATCCAACCCTGGCCCCGGGCCCTGCGCGGCAGCAGGATGCCCGGTGCCTGGTGCCCTGCCCGGGAGGGAGGGATCCCAGGGAATGGGAGCGGGCTGAGGTTTGGGGTGCTGTGAGGTGCAGGGATGTTTGGGGTGCTCTGAGGTTTGGGGTGCTCTGATGCTTGGGGTGCTCTGATGTTTGGGGTGCTCTGAGGTTTGGGGTGCTGTGAGGTGCAGGGATGTTTGGGGTGCTCTAAGGTTTGGGGTGCTGTGAGGTGCAGGGATGTTTGGGGTGCTCTGAGGTTTGGGGTGCTCTGAGGTTTGGGGTGCTCTGAGGTGCAGGGATGTTTGGGGTGCTCTGAGGTTTGGGGTGCTCTGAGGTTTGGGGTGCTGTGAGGTGCAGGGATGTTTGGGGTGCTCTGATGTTTGGGGTGCTCTGAGGTTTGGGGTGCTCTGAGGTGCAGGGATGTTTGGGGTGCTCTGATGTTTGGGGTGCTCTGAGGTTTGGGGTGCTCTGAGGCTTGGGGGTGCAGGCATCAGCCCTGGACTCACTTCCCAGTTCTCCCAGAGATCCCAGACCACTCTGGCTGGGCTCTGCCTGGGGAACCAGCACCGCAAGGGCAGGGGTCCGGGCAGGGCGGGTCAGCCAGGGGGGTGCCCAGGGTAGGGGTCTGGGTGCCATGGGGCTGCCCCCCATGCAGGAGGAAGGTCCCTGGGTCCTGCCTCTGCCCCCCTGCCAGCGGGATCCTCCACAAGCCGGTGCCGCGGGCGCTGGCGCTGCCCCAGCCTCCCATGAGCTCATTTTCCATCCCAAAAGGACTTTCCTGCATTGGCTTTTGTCTTTTATTGGGGTTTCTGGCTCCAGCCGCAGGGATGGGGGTGGGAGGAGCGGACTCGGGGCACTGGCACCCTTTGGTGGCAGCTCTGCTGTCGCCTGGCTGGAGGCGACAGGGAGTGGAGCACTGGTCCCATCCTCATCCCGGTCCCCATCCCGTTTCCCATCCCCATCCCCCCCCAGGACGCACCAGCGCCAAGCGGGACTGTGTTAGGCTGAATACATGGGATGGGGATGGGGTCCTGCAGCCCTTCAGCCCCCAGGGATGCTCCTGCTCCCCCAGCTCCCCTGGCCCTGTATCAAGCAGGGATGCTCATGAGGACGGGGTCCTCGGGCACTGCGGCTCCCAGGGATGCTCCTGTGGGACGGAGGAGTCCCGTGACCCTGTACCACCCAGGGATGCCCCCATGGGATGGGGTCTCCGCCCCCTGTGGGACATCAGGGCACGCTGGGCCGGGGCTGGCGCAGGGCGCTGCTTTGTTCCATCGCCGGCTCCCGGGGCAGGAGCGGTGGGAAAGGCTCCGCTTTGCGCTGAGGCATCACCCGCATCCCGCTGAGGGCTCTGGCCAGGGCCCAGAGGCAGCTCCCCCCCAGCGCCGGCCTGACTCAGCCCCTCGTGACGGCCCTTCCCAGGCCCCTGGGTACCGGGGAGCTCCCGCACCCCCGGCCGCGGGGCCGGGCTCCGGGCAGGGGCGGCCGCTTGAGCCGGTCCCGCTCCGCTCCCCGCGGCGCCGAGGCTCGGGCCCGCCCCGCTCAGCGCTTCGGGGATGTCCTGAGGTTCCCCGCAGCTCGGCTTGGAGCGGAGCCACCGCCGGGCCGCCAGCTCCTGCCTTAAAGGCGCCGTAGCCTGAGCCGGCAGCGATGGACGCGGATGGAGCCCCCCGCAGCCCGCAGCCGGAGCGGGGCTCGGTGCCACCATCGCTGCTGGTCCATTGGGTTCCGCTGGTGTGGAGGAGCCCCCGGAGCCGGTGCCACAAAAGCGGGGCTCTCCCTCGGGGTGGAACGGCTGAGCCCGTGTTCCCCCGCAGGGTCCTGCGGCGCTGCCGGGAATGCCCCATCCCTGGCAGTGCTCAAGGCCAGGTTGGACACAGGGGCTTGGAGCAAGCTGCTCCAGTGGAAGGGGTCCCTGCCCGTGGCAGGGGTTGGGGCTGGAGGAGCTTTAAGGTCCCTTCAGTCCAACCCAGGCTGGATTCCATGGTCCTGTCACCCTGGGGATCCTGGTGCCTGTACCCAGTGCCAGTGCCTGGCTCGCTGCCCCAGCACAGGACCGCAGCCTGCGGCCGAGGCCAGGGCTGCCGGCCAAGGCAAACACCTTGGAAGCCACTGGGGTGGCCACAGGACTCGTGCCCAGCCCGCCTGGCAGTGCCACATCCACCCAGCGGTGCCAGGGACGGTGGCCAAGCCCGGCTCTAAGGGAGCCCTTAGAGCAGCTCCAGTGCCTAAAGGGGCTGCAGGAAAGCTGGAGAGGGGCTTGGGACAAGGGCCTGTAGGGCCAGGCCAAGGGGAATGGCTTGAACCTGCCCGAGGGGAGACTGAGCTGAGCTCTGAGGCAGGGAGTTGAGACTGGAGGAGCTTTAAAGTGCCCTGCACAGGGTTGTGGTGGGGCGGGTGCATGGGCTGGGGCACAAGCGCCCCGCGGCCACAGCAGGGGCTGGATGGACGGAGTCTGAGGTTAGAAGTGAGTTAATAGAAGCGTTCCCTCCTCCCGCCCCGCCGCAGCGCGGGGTGATGGATGCTTCCCATATGGTCCCCATCAAGGCAGGCAGTGCCACACGCCTCTGCCCCAGCCGGGAGCACAGAGATTAAAGCAATTAGAGCTGCAGCTCGTCTGGCTCTTGATGAGCCCCGAGGAGCGGCTGAGAGCTCCCGACGTTCCCCAAAGCTCAAATGTCAGCGAGGCTCTTCAGCGCGGCGCTGCGGAGCTGCAGGTGCTGCCGCGGCCCCCCAGGGCCGTGGGGCGCTGATGGCAACCGCAGCGGGGTGATCCAGGAGGGGAAAATGGGAGGCTCCAGGGGCTGGGGTGATCCCCGGGACTGGGGTGCTGCGGGGTGGGCGCTGTGGGGCGGGGATGCTCCTTGGCCACGCTGGGAATGTTCCCCTGCCACCGCTGACCCCAGGTGCGGAGCCCGGGATCCCCTGATCCAGCTGAACCGCTGGGACTCAGGGACCCGACGCTGGGTGTGATGGGGTGCAGGACAGGGGGTGCAGTTTGGGGTAAAGGGCACTGGTGCAGGCAAAGGTGCATAGGCAGGGGTTCGTGTTGGGATGCAAGGACAGGGATGCAGGCAGAGATGCATGCTGGGGTTCAAGGGCAGGGATGCAGGTTGGGCGCAGGCTGGGATGCACACGCAGGGATGCTTGCCGGGGTACAGGGCAGAGATGCAGGCAGGGATTCACGCAGGGCGCAGGCAGGACGCTGGGTGCCGGCGCCATCGGCGGCCCGCGACAGCCCTCTTGTGGTCCGGTGCGACCGATGGAGACCGGGACCGGGACCGGACCGGGGCTTCAGCTCCAGCTCCTCCCGCAGCGGCGGCCCCGCTGCTTGTGTGCAGGGCACGGGTGTGATGGGGAATGCAAGCGGGGCCCGTGTGCGTGTGCGAGCAGGGGGAGCGTGCACGGAGCCTGGTTGTGAGCACAAGAGCGTGAGCAGGGCCCCGCTGCAGTGTGCAGGTGAGCAGGGCACCATTATAAACGTCCAGGGCACAATCACGGGCATTCAAAGCACCGTTGCAGCACGCAGGGCACCATTGCAGGTGTGCATGGCCCTG